ATGAGAAGGATCTCGAGGGCAAGGCTCTCCTCAAGGTCGTCATGAGGAAGTTCCTTCCCGCCGCTGACGCTCTCCTCGAGATGATGGTTCTCCACCTTCCTTCTCCCGTCACTGCCCAGAGGTACCGTATGGAGACTCTGTACGAGGGTCCCCACGACGATGTCAACGCCATTGGTATCCGTGACTGTGACCCCAAGGGTCCTCTCATGCTGTACGTTTCCAAGATGGTGCCCACTTCCGATAAGGGTCGTTTCTACGCTTTCGGTCGTGTCTTCTCTGGTACCGTCAAGTCTGGTCTCAAGGTCCGCATCCAGGGTCCTAACTACACCCCTGGCAAGAAGGACGACCTTTTCATCAAGGCTATCCAGCGTACCATTCTCATGATGGGCCGTTTCGTCGAGCCCATTGAGGATGTCCCTGCCGGTAACATTCTCGGTCTTGTCGGTGTTGACCAGTTCTTGCTCAAGTCTGGTACTCTTACCACCAACGAGACTGCCCACAACCTCAAGGTTATGAAGTTCTCCGTCTCCCCCGTCGTTCAGCGTTCCGTCGAGGTCAAGAACGCTCAGGATCTCCCCAAGCTGGTCGAAGGTCTCAAGCGTCTGTCCAAGTCGGATCCTTGCGTTCTGACCTACATCTCGCCATCCGGTGAGCACGTTGTTGCTGGTGCCGGTGAGCTTCACTTGGAGATTTGCTTGAAGGATCTCGAGGAGGACCACGCTGGTGTCCCTCTCCGCATTTCCGACCCCGTCGTCCAGTACCGTGAGACTGTCAACGCAACTTCCAGCATCACTGCTCTGTCCAAGTCGCCCAACAAGCACAACCGTCTCTACCTCACTGCTCAGCCTTTGGACGAGGAGGTTTCCAGGGCCATTGAGACTGGCAAGATCGCTCCTCGTGACGATATCAAGACTCGTGCCCGTATCCTGGCTGACGAGTACGGCTGGGACGTCACCGATGCCCGTAAGATTTGGTGCTTCGGTCCTGACACCACTGGTGCCAACTTGCTCATTGACCAGACCAAGGCTGTCCAGTACCTGAGCGAAATCAAGGACTCTGTCGTCTCTGGTTTCCAGTGGGCCACTAAGGAAGGTCCCATTGCTGAGGAGCCCATGCGTTCCATCCGCTTCAACATCCAGGATGTCACTCTCCACGCTGATGCCATTCACCGTGGTGGTGGTCAGATCATCCCTACCGCACGTCGTGTCCTTTACGCCGCCACTCTCCTTGCCGAGCCTTCTCTGCTCGAGCCCGTCTACCTCGTCGAAATCCAGGTTCCCGAGCAAGCCATGGGTGGTATCTACGGTGTCCTTACCCGAAGGAGAGGTCACGTTTTCGAGGAGAACCAGCGTGTTGGTACTCCTCTGTTCAACGTCAAGGCATACCTCCCCGTCAACGAGTCTTTCGGTTTCACCGCCGATCTCCGTGCCGCCACCGGTGGACAGGCCTTCCCTCAACAAGTCTTCGACCACTGGCAGCTTCTCCAGGGTGGATCACCACTTGACGCCACCACCATGGTTGGTAAGATTGTTGCCGACATGCGTAAGCGCAAGGGTATCAAGGTTGAGGTGCCTGACGTCTCCAACGTAAGTCCCTATCTAGATCTCACCATACAAGCATATGCTAACAAATTTCGCAGTACTACGACAAGCTGTAAATGGAAACTGTCAAAAGCACTAGATTTCCTTTCCTCGCAACCCTGGGTCATCCCTCAGTCATGGGCAAGCTCGTGGCCGCTGGTCTATGTATGACGCAAACGACTCCCCTCTATTTTAAGAGCAGTTAGAGTTAGTAAATGTCGGTCCGGGCGGTTCGCCCATAACGGTCAGGTTTTTGCGGGTTTGCACGAAAGATACGGATGATGACCCATTATTTCCTTACCTGTTCTTGGTGTCGTGTAGTTGGAGAAAATCAAACTATGTTGCACAAAACTTGTTCGCCATTGCTCTAATATTCTTGTGTGTGAGCAGTGAAAGTGATGTTGCTGGTATGAGCAGTGAATGTGGAGGGGCAAGTCTAGTCACGTGCTCACGGGTCAGCGAAGCTATGACCTTTGGTCGCGCTAAGAACAACGCGAATTACTTGCGCTTGGCTTAACTCCCGTGCCGCGGAATCCACCTTCAACTCGCAGCAAAAGTTTAGTTATTCCTATCTTCCGAATCGCGTAATCCGGAGGAGAGCGGGAGTCTTGGAGCCAGAGTCATGATGCTGCTCCAGGAAAAGGACCAGGCCGCTTTCAAAAGCTGGCTGCTACCGAAGCTTGAGACCATGTAAGTCAGAGCCGATTGTTGCTGTCACGAAAGTTCTGGATTCGGAATGCTAATAATGAGAACAGCTCGGACGCCGAGGCTGGGGTTCTTGCCGACTACGTTGCTGCGCTTGTTGCCGTTGACGAAACTGAAGCAAACGTTAGGCGCAGCTGTATCGAATCATTGGAAGATTTCCTCGGGAAAGATAGTAAGCAGCAGTCAGACAATGTCACACATGCTGGCCGTGCAGGAAATTAGCGACTAACAAGGAACAGATACTGAACCGTTCGTAAGTGACGTGATCGCAGCGCTGAACGACAAGAGTTATCTTCCAAACGCTCCACCTTCTGCGCCTATACAGTCCATAGTAGGCAGTACGAATCTCGAATATGAACCTCATCATTCAAACGCGCCATTCAATGCACCGAGAGGTCCAGCCGCGACTAGATTTCCGCCCACACCATATCGCCAACTCGACCGGTCGGCCGCGCAGGGGATGCAGCAGGATGGATCGGGTCAATCAAGGAAACGCAAGGTGTTGGAAGAGGACAATAACCAGTTCTGGGAGGGCCAGGACCCGCACTACAATCGCAGCGGGAGCGGTGGTAACAGGCCATCAAAGCAGACGGCGCGTAGGGGCGGCAGAAACGCAAGGGCTAGGGATACTCAACACAACGCCTCGTATGATTTGAGTCGCATGCCAAACTTTGCAAACCTTCCAGCGCCCCCGCCAGGACCTCTTCCGTTTGATCCGTCAGATCCTATGGCTTTCTTTGCAATGGCTGCAGCTTTTGGCGCAAATCTTCCTGGCATGCCACCCTTCTCCTCAGATACCCAAGGTAATAGGTCTAGTCATAAGGGCTCCAAGGGCTTATGTACGAACTATTATGAAAAGGGATTTTGCGCCATGGGAACCCTTTGCCCCTTTGAACATAGCGACGCTGCTGTTGCTGTTCCAGCCAACGAAATCCCTGAGTATGACCCAGAACAGTCGTATCTTGCTGTACAGCCTCATCGAGGTACGGGCGACCGCGCATTGTCACAGACTCGACGTCGCACCATTAAGGGCGGTAAACCACGCGCGCCATTCTCCCAATCCGGCCCGTCACGCGATCCGTCAAACACTATGCTGGTGGTTGAACAAATCCCGCCAGAGAACCTCAATGAAGATAGTGTACGAAATTACTTTTCGGAGTTTGGCAGTATCGACGAAGTAGACATTCACGCCGACAAACGACTGGCAATCATCAAGTTCAGCGATCATTCTGCTGCAAGTCGAGCGTACAGTAGCCCGAAAGCCATCTTTGAGAACCGGTTCGTCAAAGTCTATTGGTATCGACCGGAGGAGCATCCAGAAGAAGGGAAACTTGACCTTGAGGCCATTGCGATTAGACAGGCAGAAGCACAGAAGGCTTTTGAAGAACGTCGTCGCAAGGAGGAGGAAGCCGATGCTAGAGCCGCGGAGATTGAGCGGCAGCTAAAAGAGAAGAATGAAGAGATGCAGGAAATTAGACGACAGCTCGCAGAGTTATCGGGTGATAAAGCTGACGAATTTTCGCAGACATTGGAGACTCTTCAAGCCGAAGCTGCCGAGCTCTTTGACCAACACGACCCTAGCGACTCTTCCGGACGTGGCCGTGGCTATGGCGGATTCCGTGGGGGCTATCGAGGTCGCGGCTTTGCTCCCTTCCCTCCTCGTGGCAGAGGCTTCACACCCTATAGAGGCGCCTATCATGGTCGCGGGTCTGGTTTTGTTGCTTCTGCATTCCCGGGTCGTAGTGCCGTCAAGAGGCTTGACAATAGGCCCAGACGACTTGCTGTTTCTGGCATTGAGGCTGACACTCCGAGAGATGAAGCCTTGAGGCAGTACCTTCTGGTAAGTGAACATGTCTGTGTAATGTGTTTTCTTCTGCTGATAAGATGTATAGAACATTCCCGATTGCACATCTATCGAGCACCATCCAGAGCAACACGATGCTCTTATCCTTACATTCAAGGAGCGCTACCAGGCTGAGATGTTCCTCGACCAATCGCTTCAGATTCCTGACGTGGGCAAGTTGGATCTTGCATGGGTTCCCAATGACGCTTTTGGTGGTCTTGAACCTTCTACCACAACTGTAGGTACAGCTCATGTCAGGGCTGAAGACGATGACGATTCTTCTGCTACCGTTGGTGAAGCGGATATCAAGGACGAAGAAGACGACGGCCAGCCGATTGGTGGCGCAGATGCAGACATGGATGTTGCTGATGATGTTGATCAATGGATGCAAGCCAATACCGCATCGTGAGACACGACGGCCTTTATAGCTTTCTCTCCTCTTTTCCCTGATTTTTGAATTCTTCTTTGCATGAGCATGGCGCTTTTGTTCAATCTTACGAGATGGCATGGAATGGGATGGAATGAATTGACGTTAGTAACATTGGAGATACCAAGTAGACAATTGGTACATATGTAATAAATTCAACAATGCAATATAAGAATCGCTGGCTAAGCTGGCAGTGACTCCATATTCCCCCCATCTGCCGTTAAAGGATCTGACATATCGCCGTTAACTCATCTGAACACCAGTGACGCAATTGAAATCCCCATCCATACTCCCCTCATTCAGAAGATTGCCATGACACCATAATTCAGATAGCCTCGTATAAGAAAAAAATCGCTAAACCCCAACTCTTCATGCACTCGCAAATCAAAACCAGAGAAGAAACCTTGTTCATACCTAAAGAAGTCGAAGAGAAAAAAAAAGATAATCACGAAAACAACCCGACCCTCCTCTTCACCTCGTCCCCCTTGAGCCCACCCACCCAACTCACCCTCTCTTTCACACACAGCTCCCTTGTCGGCCGCAACCTGCCCTCAACAAGCCTTGCATCATCCACGGCGCCCATGCGCACAATGGCGCAACCAGGGAACGCGGCACCAACCCTATACATATTGGAGCCGCAAGTATGGCAGAAGAAAGTCGTCGAGCCATGACTTGAAGGCGTAGAAACGGGTTGGGAAAAGGACGAAAGATTCGATGTACCACGTACATGTTTCAAGTATCTGAATTTTGGCGCGTTAGCACTTTAGCGGTAACTTTTTATTATTTTTCTTTTTTCTTTTTTTTCTTCTTCTTCTCTTTTCAAGCGGAATGCTTTGGAGAAGGGAAACCAAGAAAAAAAAAAGGGGGGGGGGGGGGGGGGAGGGGAAAGGGAGGACAAATAAACGTACTCATCTTTAACGACAATACTGGCTTCCACTCCGCCTTTTCTGCAGTCACTGCAGTAGCATACGAATGAGGCTACGAGACCTGGTGTTGTGATGGGGAAAGCGAGGTGTACTGCGCCGCAGAGACAGGTTGCTGTTCCGGCTTGTGCTATAGATGCTGCTGGAGGTACACCAGAGGTACGCGAGGGAGATGTGAGGCTCGGGAGCTCGAAATATGGTGCTGTAGTGGTAGTGTTGGTGGTGGTCTCGATGGTGGCGGCGGGATCCAGTTTACTGCGGTACGTACTTTTCCCTGGCGTTATGGTTGTTGTGCTAGCGCGGGTGCGGCGTGTAGAAGATACGGGGGGCGGGTAGGATCGCAGGGTTGGGTCTTGGGTTGCGGTTGCAGAGTAGTCTCTTGAGAAGGTGGCGGGGAAAGCGGTTTTAGCTTCGAGAGTCGATGTGGATGGTGGTTGTGGTTGTGGTGGAGGCGCTTGTTGTGTGCGGGCTGAAGCGGATTTTCTACTTAATCTGCGGACGGAGAGCGAGGAGCGCCTTGAGGAGTGTTTGGTTCCATTGTGGGAGGATGGGACGGACGGCGGTGCTGCTACTGCTGCTGCTGCTGGTGGGGATGAGGAAGCGGAGGATGGGGCTGGCGAAGAGGATGAAGAGGAAGATGTTCGAGTAGCACCGGGCGGAGGAGCAGTACTACTTTTACCGCCGCTGCTGTCTGGGATTTCGAGATCGGGGTTGAGGACTCGTGTGACGTGCTTTACGCTTGCTGCTAGGTTGAACTTCATGGCTGACTACTTTGCATACGCTCATATACACACGTTGGTAGTGACGATAACAACACACATGCAAAACCACCCGAATTCCTCCAAGAGCGCGCGTGTATCAATGGGTCAAGGGATGTCCTGCGTGTAGCCGTGTGGACAAGGACGAGTGATGACTTGAAGCGTGCTACCTACTGGCTGGCGAAGAAAAAAGACTTGACTCGAAACAAAAGTGGTCAACTGGGGATATTACGTTGTTTTTGAAAAGAGAGAGAGAGAGAGAGAGCATGTGCAATTCGCTCCGAGGAGAGGGCTAGAATCGGTTCTTTGGGTCCCCCCGTTGCTACCCTTGTTTTGGGGGCATGAAAACGTGCGTTGCATGTTTTGCTCGTGCTTCATCTGTTGAGAGATGTGGGTTGGATCGGGATTCCGTCATCGTGTTGATAGTTTGCTGTCCCTGCGTCGGCAGGAGAACAAGGCTTTAAATTATCGGCTTTGGTCTTGGCAGGTATGTTTCCTGGTGAGTTTAGAATCCGTGTGTGTACTTAAATAGATGCGGATGTGTACTGTACACTGCTGGTTTGGCTTACAGATTGACAGCTGTCTCTGGATCTAATGGTTCCACAATCGCCTATCGGCAATGCCGGGTGGTATCTGCAGATGTGGGGATCCATCCTCCTCGGGAAGCGTGTGGAGAAACACGGGTGTTTGCTGATCCACTTCTTTTCCGTTTCGCATGTAGATGGAAAAGTACCACATGCTGTTTCCCAGAGTCGCATCTTGTTCCTGTGAGATGTACTTTTCCCACGGTTCACTGTCCAACCTTACTTTGCATCATGCCATGAAACTAGGAGAAGCCATGGCCTTGTCGCAGTCGGTGCAGAGATATGTGAATCTGTCATTGTGGTCTAAGCATGCGTCAAAGTTGGCTGTACCAAACTGTCATATGTACGGCCCTACCGGGTTATTTTCATTTGTTCCGCGCTACATGGCGGGGTAAGTGCATGTGACATCTCCCGTGCAAAGTGTGAGGGAATAGTGGGTGTATTCCAAATGAACTTTGACGCATATGGGGGGGATGCGGAGGATGTGATGGCGGTTGTCATGGCTTCGAAAAAGAAAACAGAGCCAGAGCCACAACTTAAAATAGATCTGCTTAGCATGAAACCATCCTGCTAGCCCTCCTGTTGGACAACACTGGTACGGCTAGGGACAAGGATTCACTCTCTCGATTCTACTATACCCCTCACAACTTACTTGCTTTCCCGTTCCCAAGAGTAACAACCAACTTTCCAAACTGGCTGGCGTTCTTCATATCGTCAAAGAGCGTGTCGATCTTCTCGACATCCAATCCGTGCACACTGCGACTTACAACCGGCTTCATCTTTGTGTCGCGCACAAATTGGACCATTTCTGCGAACTCCTTGCGCGAGCCCATGGTAGAGCCGCGGACTTCAATGTTGCGCAGCACGGCGGACATGAGGAAGTCCATCTTGGGCGAGACTGTCATGCCGTAGACGGAGATAACACCGCCAGCCTAGAAATAAATTCGTCAGTTTGTGGAAAGAAAGTAAATTTGCAGAATATATGGCAACGGACCTTGAGAAGCTTGCTTCCGACCTTGATGACATCGCCTCCAGCGCCATCGACAATAGCATCAAGGTACGGCCTGTCCTTTGGCAGGATAGCCTGTAGCTTCTTGTCCCAATCTTTCTCCTTGTAAATAACACCGCCCTTGGCGCCCAACTTGACAGCCTTGTCGATCTTATCTTGGTTCCCGCTGGTGACGTAGACGTTGCATCCACGGGCGACAGCAAAAGACAGCACCATGAGGGCGACACCGCCGCCAATGCCCGTGACCAAGATGTTTCTGCCGGCAACGGCATTGCCGCTCTTGACCTGGAATGCGCGCCATGCGGTCAGGCCTGTGAGGGGGAGCGCAGCAGCCTCTTCGTCATTCAGGTGCTCGGGGCATTCTTCTAGTTCCCCTGCGTCAAGCATGCACACATCCTGGAGTGTGCCCACGGGATTGGACTTGGTCCCGCCCATGATGGCGTACCCCTTTGGGTGCTCTGGCCCTTCGAGGCTGTCTTTCCAGCCTGTACCGGGGTTCAGTAGGACGCGCTTGTTGAGCCATGGCTTGGCCGTCGCCGAAGAGCCTGTGCTTGTTACGATGCCGACGCCGTCTGCGAGAAGAGGCACGCCGAAGGTTGTGCCGGGGTAGAGGTGTTGGCGGATAAAGAGGTCACGGTGGTTGAGGGCCGCTGCTGTGAGGGTTATGACGGCCTGAGGTGAGAGACAGTTAGCTGGAGTGGTCGGCGAATGTGCGGGCAGAGAGTCATTACCTCATTTTCCTTGGGCGTGGGCTCAGGCACGGTGATCTTTTCCAGCGGGTAGTAGACCTGTCCTGGCTTGCCTGGAACCTGCTTAATCACAATGGCCGAAGGCATGTTCTCTAGCTTGTGAACTAAAGATGCAAAAGAAAGAAGATGATTCAAGTAGCAGCAATCAAAAAGACACAATACAGAGCTTGGAACTGGACGGGGCGATCAACTTATTTTCTCATGTCGACATGCGACTCAGCCAGGCACGACAAGTGACGATCGAACCGAGGTCGACGCGGCTTGCAGGGGTTCTCCACTGTGCGGGGAACGCTTATCAGTCGCAGACTTGGTTCGGTCATCAGGAACCACATATGTACCGACTTCACGGCCACGACGGGTGCACATTTACTCTCTTTCCTTTTTCGTATTGCAATTGCACTACTACGCAAGTTCATCGAGTCATCATATCCTGTCTTGTGCACAAAGTACCCTGAGCAAATTCGTGACACGCTTAAGCCTTCCATCGGAAAGATGGATGTCTCCAATCTAGGTCCTCAATTTCCTCTTGGGATTTGCCTGCCAATTCTGCTTCAGCGTCCACAGTCTTCCGCTTATTGTTGCTCTGCTTCATCCAGAACAGAAGCACGATACTCGAAATTAGAATCATGCTGCTAGTGGCTAGATTAAGCCCGTTGCCAATGGGATAGTTTGGCGCATCGGTCGGCAGGAAACTCCATGTCGAAATCAGCCCGCCAATGTTACCAAGCATAACCACAGTACCTGGGAATACATGTTAGTAGTGATTCTGTGTTTAATCCATTATTCGAGCAACTCACCAATGGCAGACGCCCTTGCTGTGTCAGACACAACGTTGGCTGAAGCTTGCGCATTGCACAGCGCGCCAAAAGAAAATGCTCCTGAAGCGATCAAGAAGGTAGCTCCGTAGCGTACTTGGCCGTCTTTGCTTGCCAAGAACATGATATAGCCCACCATCATGAAAGGCGCTCCAATGATGAAGAAGATCATACGCCTGTCGAATCGCCCGCTGAGGAATGGCAGGAGAACCGTGAAGAATGCTCCCACAATGTACGGCGGGACTGTGTGAAGCTGTTGCGAGACAACTGTCTTCTTCGGATAGATTGTGCGGACAATGGTGGGCGCAAAGAAAGCCAAACCTTGCACCGTGATGTTGTCGAGTAGGAAGATGAAGGCTGTGGTCAACACGACAGGATTAAAGATTCCGCGCGTAAACTTCTTCTTATCCACCTTGTCAAGCACCTCTTTTTGACCCAAACGCTCAGACTTGACACGAGCAATTGCCAACTCCTTCTCTTCCGGTGTCAGCCAGCGCGCAGTTTCGGGTCGGTCCGTAAGCGTGAAAAAGGAAATGATTGCAAGTCCACAGGTAACGATTCCCTCGATGGCGAAGATCATTCGCCACCGTTTTAGAGATCCAAACGAATCCAGGGTTAAGATGGCTGACGCGAGAAGACCGCCGAACGCGCCGGCAAGGGGAGCCATGACGATGTAAAGGGACAGCCTGAATGCAAGCTCAGAGCGGCGGTACCATCTCGATAGATAGTACGCGATGCCTGGCAGCATTCCAGCTTCAAACATCCCAAGCACAAATCGGACGCCTGATACTTGGGCTCTAGTGTCGACAAAAGCCGTTGCTATCGAGACTGCGCCAAAGCAAAGCGAGATGATGGGAATAACTATAATTGGAGTTGTTAGTACTTTGTGCCCAATGCTTATTTGTAGAGGTAATACGTACACCAGCCGGGACCCATCCATTTGCAAGCCATGTTTGACGGAATTTCGAAAATGATGTAGCTGATGTAGAAGACGGACAAGACAGAGTTGTAATCATGTCCCTTGAGATGGAGGTCCTTTTCCAGGCCGGCCAGACGTGCATTTCCAATGTTTGCTCGGTCGATGAAGCAGAAAAGGTAGAGGAGGGCGACTGTGGGAATGATGTACAGATCAATTTTCAGTTTCAGTCGCGCTTCAGCCTTCTTGTCAAATTGGATCACGGGCTCCCCATAGCTATATTACTCATTAGCAAACAGAACAAAAAGAACGCGCAACTTGGATACAGCGATTGGGCACCTACGCGTCTGTGGTAGCATGGCCATGAGCAGCCACTTGATGCGGAAGTTCGGACTTGAGCTCTTCATGCTGGCTGGGCGAGTACTGGCCTGCCTCGTACTTTTCAGGCACATATTCGGCCTGAGAATGAGCCATGGTGAAGGCAGAGAGGGTTGTCGAAGAAAGCAAGAAAGAAAGACAAAATCCTTACCTGCCGCGGCCCATGGCAGGTTGCAATGCCGCAATTGCGCTTTATAGTTTGATTCTAGCACTACCGGGGCCCTGCCCTATCTCACCGTCCTGTCAGCGCGTCCCCTGTCGGGCCGGGCGAGTGCCAAGAGCCATAGCTGGGGGAGACTAAACCCTTTCCAGGCGAACAGTAACGCCAATCGGCCCACTTGACCAATACGCGAATCCTCCCCCAGGACTAACTACGATCGACGGGGGGAGGTCTAGGTCAACCGCTGTCAAGAACCCCCGTTCCAGTTTGTCACCGGGTAGCAATGTCGGAATCTGAACGGAAGCTTGTATTCTCTACCCGTTCACACAGTAAATCTCTTCGTCCGCTCGCCTCCCGATACTGCTATCCGTTCGTACGTACCCCGCAGCGCCACCGAGCCTTGGTTCTGGGGACTGAGGAGCCAGTGGAGAAGCGGAAGTTCCATGCGCTGGACCGATCAGCCAAGGTTGGGCGTACAGTCTGTGTGGAAAAGCCTTCCCTTATTCCAGCTGGATGACTAGCGCTTCGACATGGGTCGGACGATAAGAGACGGCTTGACAGGTTGTCACAATGTGTTCCATGGATAAGGGCTAACGTGTATCACCAGTGTGCGCCCCACCCCAGTGTGCGCCCCACAAAATCCTAGTACCTCACCTTCGTAATAGTATTACGCAACACTACCACTATTTTTATTATTAAGTAGAATAAGATATTATTTAATAGACTCGTCGCTATCCTCTGT